TCTTCAGAAAGTGCGTTCGACAGATATTGTAGTACTAGCCGGAGACTTGAATGCTCAGGTCGGACGTCTAGGCACAGAAGAGAGTCGTTTAGGTGGCCGATGAGGACTCGTTGGTCGCAGGTCAGATAACGGGGACCGTCTACTGCAACTTTGCACAGACCACAACCTGTTTCTGGCTAGCACTAACTTTCGGCACAGTCATCGCCGATGTGCCACCTGGCGTCCTCCCTCTGCATCTCAAGCCTGGACTCAGATTGATCACATCGCGATCAGCTGCCGCTGGCGTGGTTGTGTACAAGACTGCCGCTCCTTTTGGAGTACCTATCTGGACTCTGATCATTCCCTTTTCTGCGCTAATCTTACCTTATTTTTCAGTGGTCAACAAATTCCTCGTCCTAAACGGATGGATGTCAGTAAATTGGTTGCAACTTCTGTTGCAACTAAATATCAAACCGAGCTAGCTTCTAGGCTAGCTACCATTCCACCGAAAATTATAGATGAGCATTGGTTGCGACTTCATGACGTCATCAAAATGGCGAGCAAAGTCGCTTGCGCCTTCGCTATAAGCTTATAAGCACTAGGTTTCTGCAGGTTCCTTACAACTCATTGAAGCTCGTCAGTCTACTCCGGGTAACCGAGAGTTTGACCACAAACAATGACTGTTACGTAACGAAATTGGGCAAAGCTTGCTTAACGACCAAGAAACCTGGTGGTCGGAGCGTGATAATGACCTGGAAGCAGCAGCTGCATTTGGTAACTACCGGAGGTTCTTTCAACTCATCCGAGCCAACGGCAGCAAGAAGTCTGGTGTGAGTGAAACAATCTGCGAGGATGATGGGATGCCAATCACTAACATCCATCGACGTCTTGGACGATGAGCAGAATTCTTCGAAGGGCAGTTCAACTGGCCTGCTGATCCGGCAACATCGGTCAGATTGTCCTGCCCTCCATGGCCGGTGACGATTGATCCACCACATGAGGCGGAAGTCCACAAGGAACTCCAACTCTTGAAGTGCTACAAACCAACGGGCCCAGATGACTTACCTCCGGCTATTTTAAAAGATGGTATTATCTTTCTTGTTAAGGAACTGACTGTGTTGTTCACAAAGGTTTGAGAGCTAGAGAGTGTACCAACGTCATGGAATGAGTCGATAGTTATCCCTATCCTTAAAAATGGTTTACGTCGTTTCAGTAAAAACTATCGGGGGATAAGTCTACTTCCGATTGCGTCCAAGCTATTGGCTCCCGTCATACTTCGTAGGTTGTTCAAAACCCGAGAAAGATTGACTCGCGAGGAGCAGGCTGGGTTTCGTTCTGGTCGAGGATGTATTGATCATAACTTCACCCTCCGCCAAATGTTAGAACACCGTCATACTTTTCAAAGGCCAACAACCGTAGTGTTTCTTGACATCAGGGCTGACTTCGATTCGTTGGACAGGGCTGTTCTCTGGGATTGTCTATTGAAGAAAGGTGTGCCTGAGGAGTTTATTAACATCTTAAAGGCTCTATATACAAACACCTCAGGCAGAGTGAGGGCATACAACCACCTTTCTCAATTGTTTCATTCAAGCAGTGGGGTTAGACAGGGTTTCCCAATCTCACCATTCCTCTCCAACTTTGCCATCGATGACATTCTGGAGACAGCTCTGATGGATGTAAGTAATGGCTGTGTGAATCTGTTGCCTGGAGAAAGACTTCTCAACCTTGAGTATGCGGACGATATTGTCATATTGTGCGATAATGCCCAAGGCATGCAATCCGCACTTAATCAGTTGACAATCAGTGTCCGTAGGTATGGTATGTGCTTTGCACCTTCGAAGTGCAAAGTACTTCTACAAAACTTGCAGGATTCTAACCCTGTACTCACCCTGGATGGTGAGTAGATAGAAGTAGTCGAGAAGTTCGTGTATCTGGGTAGCTGCATAAGTGCGAAAGTCAGAGCGGCCTATGCCAATCTGGGCCATCTTTGGCGCCTTCGTGATGTTAGTCTGGCTGTATAAGGTCGGATCTACAGCGCGTTGGTCAGAGCAGTTCTGCTCAATGCTTGTGAAACCTGGCCTCTCCGAGTTGAGGAGGTTAGATGACTCTCTGTGCTTGATCATCGTTGCCTCCGAAGGATTGCTGACATTCAGTGGCAACACCATGTCAGTAATGCAGAGGTTCGGCATCGTGTGTTCGGGCACAGAGATGATAATGCAATTGGTGTCACTATCTTGAAACACCGAATTCGGTGGCTTGTACATGTTCCACGTATGTCGTCCTAGAGAATTCCACGTCGTGCATTATTTACCGACTCTGGGACTGGTTGGAAAAAGCGGAGAGGTGGTCAGTGTATGACATGGTGTCTTCGTATGAAAGAAAGCTGTGGAGGGCTGGCTTGTGTTGGTCCTTCACGGCCCCCCGGCTGAGGTCCTAGAGATGGTGCAACAGAGTGGCTAGAGGCGTTATCCGATATGGCTCAGAATAGAAGCCAGTGGCGATCCTGCTGTAACCTTCTTTTACTTTCTTCATAAAAAGTGGTTGTTTCTTCCTTAACTGAAATATTTCTTCTAGTTGTACCTTTACGTTTCCCCCATTATTATTATTACACTACCTTACACTAATTTGGTCGTTATTGTTCTTTTTTTCTTTTGCGCTCCTTACCTTCTTTTGTTCTCTCTTCCCATTCTCATTGTTTATGTGGCGCACATATATTTGGTGCCCTCTTGTACCAATATTTATGTTCAAATAAATAAATAAATAATGAACAAATCCGATTGATATTACGTGCTACTTATGTCTGTCGACAAGTAGTATTAACCACAATATCCCGGGCACCTCATGTGATAATTGTTAACATAGGATTACTAAGTATCCATACAAGTCATATTATCATTTATCCCAGTTAAAATCACACTCAGATTTACATTTGACAGGCAGGAATATTGAGACATTTCCTTCAGCCTAGATGGAATAAATCGAAAACCCAACTACATTACAACAGTATTTACCACTGCTTTTGCTGCAGAGGCGGTAACAGTTCAACAATTCGAACCTGAGCTATGTCCTAAAGCGTCACATTCAAGGTGTCATCACATGTGATTTCCCACGCAAAGTCAATTGATGAATGATACTTTGTTTTAATGTTCCTAATTTTTAGTCATTTTTGATTACCACATGAATGTGTTTAATTCATTCCTCATTTTTCTCATACTCCCTAAGTGGATATTTACCTTTTACGCATTTCGTTTTATCTAATTATTTTTCTTTTACTCTTCGATCATAACGCAATCTTATCTTGGTTCTGGAAATTATGTATTACTCTTAATATTTTACAACAGATTAAGTAGGGTAACAGGTGTAAAATTCTGACCCCGACACATTGATAACTCAGACTAAAAGGGTGATTTCTTAATAAGATAAAATAGTCCCAGCAATATATTAACTGACTGAATATAGTAAATCAAAACTGAGCATCAAGATAGGGTAACATCAATTTAATGTAGATGTAAATGTTACTTAAATTACGAAACTCTCGTAACAGTCTAACATGTTCATATTTGCAGATTAAAATTATGTGCTATTCCATGTAGACAGACTAGTATCAATCTGTTTTCGTAATCTTCTATGACCAGTTACTTCCTTATACTTTCTGTCCTGTTGTTGCATTCCTGCAACAATTTGTCCGATTTTCAGTTGATTAATACTTCCTTTTTAAGAGGGCAATTTAGTACATTTAAAGGACTCTAATTTGGTAAGGAATATTGACTGTCATGTCGTATGCGCTGAATGATGTGTTTGATTAGATTAACAGCTGAAAACTGAGCCGACACTGCATACGACAAACTGGCTGACAATATAGCAACAATTTGATGTGCGGCCTCTGTAGAGATATCTCCTCGATCTCTTATGTTGACTGACCTTTTCGCATCTATCTTAGCTGTATCTGGAATGTGATTGTGTTACATTGGCGTCTTAACATCATAATATTCGACCCATTCAATTTCTCTTTACAATACATCTCCATTGTCTAATATTTTATCAACGGATTTTCTTTGTGAAACTTTTTGTTTTCTTAACCATAGGTAAAGAAAATAAATGAAGACATAGGTGAATCTAGAGGTCGAACTGCTGAAGATCACTGTGATATTCTTTCAGTAAGTCGTTAAATATAATAAGTCGCACCAAAAGCTTTTTTCCAGTAAACATTGATTTGCAAAATATATAGCTCGTACATTTTAAGACTTAAACATCTTAAAAACTGATAAGCAGAATATTTATTCCTCAAGTCTGTATCACATAACTGTATTAAGACTGTTCTATAAGTAGTACCATGAAGCCATAATAACCATAACAAATCAACCAACCATCCCTGTCCAAAGACCATTAGGATTATTTGGATCCCCACTCTAACAATATGGGAATAAAAACAGGTTTGTGTATCAGTAATGTCCGGTCCTCCAAACACAGTTATTCGGACACACATGAAATTCCTGTAATCTCATGGTACGTAGGCAATTTTATGATCAAAATTAGACATGATTCAGCAATAACACGAATTTGCATGATAGATCGTAAACACGTATGGTAAAGACCCCTTAGATTAAGGAATTGCATCAACTAAAGGTAGTTTGATGTTGGACCAACGAGCTAGTTGTAACTGGCACTTAGCACATTGAGATTCTGTCTCAGCAAAATGATTATAATATCCGTAGCTATACCACTTACGGAAATATTCGTTTTTCTACCGCAGCAGTATCATTTGTGGCTTTTACCTAATACGAGCACTTAAAGCTGACAGACAGATAAACAAATAAATGCCCACAACAAGATTTTACGCTAAAACTCTACTATTTTTTACATTTTACAAAGGTTTATCTAGCGGATGGAACCAAACTAAAAGACAGAGAGCCAGTGTATAACGAGGACCTTGGCCTTGCTGTCGAACGTCTACCAGAAAACTACACTATATCTGACTTGTGGAAGATAATACCAGAAAGAAAAAAAGATAAATGATTTTCATCAAAGGAATTTATCATAATCTTGACCATCTTTACAAATAACAAATAAATATTACAAACATGTAAAGAATGTCCTTGTGTATAAACTCAACCACCGTGCAATGAAGATATAAATATAACTCTATCCATTTCCTTCAAAATATAGTCATTCTCACCCAATAAACTGTAATCTACATCATTGATTAAAATGAGAATTCCAGGTCGAACGCTTTTCCCTTGTAAGAAGAGTTCAGGACGTTCTTGTAAAAGATTTTTCTCCAACCAAACAAGCAAATCACCTAGTCGAACCACTGTTGGTGGTAGGTCAACTTGATATTCTTTTTGCTTGTTGAACAAAAGTTCAGCCCCACCGGAAAATTCAATATCAAGTCTCATCTAATTGTTATGATCTGAAAGGAAATAAACGAAAGATTAATGCATCCCAGATGAAAAAATTATATGGTCGCCAGATCTTAAAAAAAGATTCCGTAAAAAGAACTTGTGCTTTAAAACAGTTTATGGAGATAAAAAAGACTCTTTTGATAGGTGATGAAGAGCCACGCACTTATCACAAATTAACAATTTCAAGATCCCTATACACTTTAAAAACAAAGAATTTTTTGAGCGAACAGTTTTCAGAAAGTTTGTCATCAGGTTCTAACGCTTTATACATCTATAATCTTTGTGTTACGGTGGGCAAAATTAAGTAAATATGAATTAATAAATTAAACAATGTTAAGAATGTGGACTTTCGTATCGGTTAAGGTGTAAATATATCTGGTTTATGTCATTTGTAAATTTAACAGGTCATTTAGAAAAGGGGCCGGCAAACCCTTATAAGATATCGAGTTGTAATCAATGTAGTAGAATAAATCACGTAAATGTGATGCATAACTGGAGAAATATTGTCTGAATGACTGAGGTAATAATTATAACCCAATCACGTGGATAAAATGTGGAATTGTGTAGACATGCACAGACGAAGAATGAAACGGCAAAAAAACGTAAAGGAAATTAGGTAAGGCACTCAACGAATACATGGAATATCATGCTAGACTCACTGAAACAAAATGTGAATTTTATTATAAATTTGCTACTATTTGCTCGACTATACTTATTTAAACTGCTAGGAAATAATTATCCCTATTCTTAATCGGTACTGTTAGAAATCAATTACAATGAGATGCATGAGTCTCTGTACCAATATTCTGGATTTTAATCAGTCTTCGTAGTTTTTTAATAAGAACATGAAATACGCTAACTATAACAGACACGCTGAAAATTCTGCTCAACTTTGTCTTCTCATTGCATTATCGAAATTTATCAAAGGGAATAATTGTTTTAAACTTTTAACTATAAAAATAAACAAGGCATTAGATTAAAAAGTAATAACTGATTAACTATATTTACACTTTCAGATTGGATGTAAATCCTAACCAATAATGACTCATTAGATAAGTGTAAGAATTTGGTAAATAATGAACACTAACAGAGAGTTACTTTAGTTTAAAAACAAGACACGTAAACATCACATAATAATGCATCAGTTTGCAACTTCACGCTTTATAATTTCATAGAAGGAAAAGACTAACGAAATAAAAACAACAAAATGAACAGACATAAAGACAGGAGACGAACTAATATATCTTTATGAATGCGTCTGCGTTGTGACAAATTGTTCTAAGCTATGATACCTACAACTATCACTCGACTATTAACTCTTTGGAGCTTATATCATTTAAATTACTGTCCGGTAGCTTAATGGACTGATATCGTATGTTAGTATAGTGAGTTAGACTTTGATATACTCCTGATCTAAGCAGTCAGACGATGAATCGATATATGGAATATGTAATAGATATTAGCTAGTGCACGATAACCTCAAAGACAAACTTTTGTTAAAGTTATACATTCAACATCAACATCACTAACATGAATGATCACTACATAACAATAGTGCGTTAAAGACACTTATGATCGGATACTTGTCTACAATCAATTCACATCAACTATCTTTAGTGATTTCAAACACATAGTTCCCTTTATTATCTTAAAGGGAACAAGGACAAAGATTGGTGCAGAATAATATGAATCCATTTTATTTCGTTAGGTTCTCATCAGCTGCTTACAACCTAAAATATTTGAAAATCAACGTTAATACTGATATTGACATACTTATACATACGAGGGTGACTAAAGATGAATATATGTATCATGATGCAGCGAAGATTTCAATAGAGTTAATAAGGTCATAAAAATTTTTGTTTCGGATTAATAAAGTTTGAAAGGGAAAGTTCCAGAACATTGAAATAGAGATTAGGACTCATGAAGTTAATAAACATTAGATAATTGTGCAATAAAGCAACTGAAAATAGATTAATAGTAACAAAGAAATATATGAATTGAAGGAAAATGACAACGAAGTAATTCAAACTCCAGAAAGAGTTGAAATAATGGATGACGTAATAAATAAAAAGAGGTTTAGTGTTACCAGGGCAAAGAAAGATTTACTACTGTCTCTTTTTGGATACATAGATCTGGTTTTAGACGTCTGATTTCTGTCGCTTAGGCAAACTTCTAAAGGTTGGAGTTTGATTGTTCGTTAATCACCTTGAAGGACTTCACTGCATCGACTTCATGTCCTGTATCAAGGAGATGTCTTGCGATGACATTGTTGAATGCTCTTAATCCATTTGATTTTAAACTTGCCGGAATATGTTCTTTGAATCGGACGTAGGCTCTCCTTCCTGTTTTACCAATGTAACTGCTTTGGCAGATACATGTAAATTTGTACACACAGTTGGTGGTAACATGAAAGGGATACCTACCGACCTTTGATTGTGTTAAAGAAATGTTGTTTTGGACAGGAAAATTAGTTTAGCTGCAGGATAAGTTCTTGTCAATGCAGTTTTTAGTTCCATATTGATTGACCATGTGACATCATCACCTTTGAATTTAAGTTGGATAAAAATTGGTTTCTTATTTGCTGCAGTTTCTTTGGGTTTTTTATCTTCACGTTTTCCATATTTCTCAACAAATTTCAGTGCGCATCCGTTATTCTTTAAACATTTTTTAACATTCATAACATCCTCTTTTAATGTGTCGGCAGTATATATTCTTTTTGTTCTATGAAAGTGTTTTGACAAATGCCTCCTTGTAACTGATTGGACAAAAGCTACTGAAATTGAGATAAACCCCGTTCCATGTGTCTTTCTTACAAACTAAACGTTGAGCTGTCTCATCTTTCCTTCGTTTGATTGCGATATCGAGAAAATGAAATTTGTTCTCATTTTTACTTTCCATAGCAAAATGGATATTTGGATGGGTTTCGTTGAAAAGTTTTAGTAGATTTATTAATGTTGTTGATTATTACATACGATGAAGGTATCACCAACATACATCGAATAATACACTATTTCATCAATCGCTCCTTTGAGCTTGGTTCTTTGGAAGTTAGCTATGAAAAAATCTGCTACGATAGAAACTAACGAACTTCCCCATTGCTACACCATAGGTTTGCCGGTAAATGATATTGTTGAACTGGAACTTAACATCTTTTGCGCACATGAGTAACAGTAGTTTGGATCCTGATGCTGGTAGAGGTAGAATGTCAAGATGCTGGCAAATTATGTCTATGGTTTCAAAAAGTGCTATTTTTGTAAACAATCATGTCGCATCAAAAGAAACCATAAAATTACCAGCAATATTTTTGTGGTTCATGCTACCAGAAAATCCAAATGAATCCTTTACTGCATTCGTGGCTAATCGTTAGTGAAAGCATTCAAAAGCTAATAAGAAACAAGGAGCTTACCACTACATAAACTTGTCCTACTAAGTGCTTAAACTTAGCTTACTACATAGGTGTATCATAATGATATATGCCAAATAAACTCTTCTTATCAACGGTAATATTTTATCAACCACGCAACCTTTATGATCAGTGCACATCCGAAAAATTATTAACCAGTTTCTCATTTTCAAATTGTGTCAACAGATACGAACACTACAGCATAGAAGGTAGGTGATGCATTAATCAAATGAGGTACGCAGACAGATAATATAAATTGTGTGATAATTTTAGAGGTTATGAAGGGTTTATATAAAATTACTGGAACTTCGAGACCAACAGGCTGGATTCCGTAAGATCTGTCAAGTATAGATCGAATCGCAACTGTACGGATCATTGTGGAATAATCAATCGAATCGAATTCATCGCTCTACATCAACTTCATTGACCACAAGAAAGCATTTGATAGCGTGGACAGAACAACACTATGGAAACTTCTTCGACACTACGGAGTGCCTCAGAAGATAGTCAATATCATACGGAATTCCTATGATGGGTTAAACTGCAAAATTGTGCATGGACGACAGTAGACAAACTCGTTCGAAGTAAAGACCGGTGTCAGGCAAGGTAGCTTACTCTCACCCTTTCTATTTCTCATGGTGATCGACTGGATCACGAGGACGCCAACACCTGAAGGGAAGCACGGGATACAGTGGACATCTAGGATGCAGCTGGACGATCTAGACTTCGCAGATGATCTGGATCCTCTATCGCAAACGCAACAACAAATGCAAGAGAAGACTAATGTAACAGCAGTCTCAGCAGCAGTAGGTCTCAATATACACAAAAAGAAAAGCGAGGTTCTCCGATACAACACAGCATGCACCAATCAAATCACAATTGAAGAAGATTTGGAATATGTAAGAACCTTTACATATTTGGGCAGCATCATTGATGAACACGGTGGGTCTGATGCAGATGTGAAGGCGTGGATCAGAAAAGCAAGAGCAGCATATTTACAATTGAAGAACACCTGGAACTCAAAACAATTGGCAACCAACACCAAGGCTAGAATTTTCAATAAAAATATTAAGACAGCTCTTCTCTACGGAGCGGAATTCTGGAGAACAACGAAAACCATCATCCAGAAGATACAGGTGTTTATTACCAGCCGTATACGTAAAATACTTCGGATTCGTCGATCAGATACTGTCAGCAACAACCTGCTGTGGGAGAGAACAAACCAGATTCTAGTTGAGGAAGAAATCATGAAGAAGCGCTGGAAGTGGATAGGACACACATTGAGGAAAGCACCAAACTGCGTCACAAGACAAGCCCCCACTCAGAATCCCCAAGGTCAAAGGAGGAGAGGAAGACCAAAGAACACATTACGCCAGGAAATGGAGATAGACATGAGAAAAATGAACAAGAATTGGATGGGACTAGAAAAGAAGGCCCAGGACAGAGTGGGTTAGAGAATGCTGGTCGACGGCCTATGCTCCATTGGGAGTAAAGGGTGTAAGCAAGTAAGTACTGGAACTAAAGATTGATAAGATGGGTTACGCAGTAGTTGAGCAGGATTTGAAGAGTTTACATAAGTTCAGAGAAAGTAAGAGAATTTCACAACAGGATCGACACTTGCTTTTATTCGCAGACATTTTTGATAACAACTCAAGCCACAGTGTTGCACAACAGTCATACACTGACCACCTCTTGACTTTTCCAACTAGTCCCAGTATCAGCAAATAACATGCGATGTGGAATACTCTGGAACGACATTCGTGGTACGAATTCAAGCCACTGAAGTCGGTGTTTCAATGTAGTGACATCAAAATGAATTGTCGTCACTGTTCCCGAACGCATGTCACCGAACCTCCACGTTATTAACATGTCACTGAATGTCAATCATCCTTCGGAGACAACGATGGTCAAACACAGAGAGTCGTCGGACGTCCTCTACTCAGAGTCCATGTTTCACAATCATAGAGTTAAACTGCTCTCACCGACGCACTGTAGATCAGAACTTTCACAACCAGACTAACATCGCGAAGGCGCTAAAGATAGCCCAGAGTGGCATAAGCCGTTCTGGCTTCCGCTATACGTGAAGTGATCTCATCACTCACATCACCACCAGCACTTACACAGTTACCCAGACACACGAACTCAATCACTTACAACTGCTCAGTAACAAGAGGGAGTTCAGGCACAGGGTCCCCCCAATCTTTTGAAGTGCGAAGTACGTACCATACCTACGGACACTGGTTTGAAATCACTAAATGTGGGTTGCATGGCTTGGGTATCATCACACAGCGAGACAACATCCGCAAGAGCTGAAATTGAACATGTGTATAGCGAGTATCAAATAAAGGTAAGTGGAAAACCCTAATTCTAAACTGGTGTAGATGAGCTAAAGGATAAAGAGGGAAAGATCTTTTGGACACTGGTTAACGTGGAAATGTGGTATTAGGAACTCTAGTAACTATTATGTATCGAATATTAGGCACACGGTTTTTAGTAAAAGTTTTAATTATCTTGTAAATTCGTGATGTTAATAAATAATAATAATCGGGAACTGTTACTTTTTCTCAGCTACTACGTGTTCTAGCATGTTATCCTCTCTGGTTCTGGTTTAAATATTTTTAAGAATGTTCAAATTAGGATATGGACAAAATATCGGCACAGATTTAGGGGACTCGATTGGCATTTGCCAACTCGTGTCACTTGTGGGGTAGGTGAGATATCTGTTTGCCGACTAAAGAACGAATTTACTGTTCAGCAGTTTGCTCTGTTCTACTTAATGAATATGAAACATGGCCATTAGGAATAAAGGATATTCGCAAAATGCTAGTATCCGATCACATTTTCGAAGCTTCGTTCGTGTATTTCGGGACCACTGAGTAAGCAATCCCTGGTTTAGGAAAAAATGCTAGTTAAGAATGGTAAATCAACTGATGAGGTGGCATATCTCCAATAGCTGTATTTGAGACAACTTTTATGTATACCAAACCACTGAATTCTTCGACGAGCGATGTTGTGTGGTGTAGGAGTAGGCTAGAAGAAAGTTTTGGGAGGTCCAACCAAAACGAGGCATTGGTACTCGCTTCGGTGGTACGTATACTAAAAGTGAAACGACACAGAGATTAGCATGGCCCCTGCGCAGGGATGACACGCAAAATCGTGAAGCGTCTGATATTTTTTGCCCCCAAATGCCCTGGTAAGACCGACGACGGGGAGAGTTAGCTCTCCCTCTCGAAATACTCTGACATGGCCACGAGTACACAGCCAATGAAAAGGAAGTCCTACTCACTGCCTACTCGTGGCGGGAGTGCTCTTTACGACATTGAGAGGACGAAAAGTGAATGTCCGGTACTTTAACCGGGTTAGTGGATATGGGAGATTTACCTGGGGGGATTGGAAAACACCGATTCCAATCAAATGGTGCACATGGGCTCCAGTATCCTGAAGGAACAAATGGCGTACGAACCAATCTTTGGTCACTGGTTACCATGGGACTACATCTCTTGACGTTGCCCCGCTGCCTTGTGAATAATACCTTTAGGTCGAAGGCTTAGGGTGTGGCCCTCTAAGAAAACCATCTGCTTCGATGTGGGCATACGGGTAGTATCATAGCCCACACACAAATTAAGTGGCTTGCGTGATGCATATGTATTCAGTGCCCCTTTGTACCAATATTTACATGTTCAAACAAATAAATAAAATTGGTCTATGAAGTCATTAGCAGTTGAATTAGGCCATGTTAGTGGGTGTAGACTATTTGGTTGAGGTCGGTGTGATTAACGTAGCCAGTGGTCGGAGACTGAATGGAGTGGCTCAAAATCATTTGCGATGGCGCATAAACATCCACTTTTTGTCTCCTACCAAATTATGAGTTTCTAAATTCCCCAAAACTTGTTTACTTCACTAATTTCCTTTTAATCGTATGTCATATGTTTAATCTTCTCCGTCACCACTGATACTATCACTACCTCTACTATTTAGGTTTGGCCTGATATTTTCATTTCTGCGTTTATAAAGTGTAGGATCTTGAAACGATGTACATACGTACCAGTTTCTACTTTGTAACTGGCTGAGTGATATGGAAGTATTACTTAGTCACTTACTTTTGACCATTTAACCAAACAGGCTGTCAATAACAGATTTTATGGCGAGACTCTAATTTAGCGACGAGCCAATCAGAAGCGTTTGAGCAATTTCAAGGTCATGGAGCCAAGTTCAACACGCGATGCTAACATACGGTCGGTTCACAGCGGATTTTAGAGAGGAGGTGATTAATGAGAGGTTAAAACAGATGGGACGGCGAAACTCTAATTTAGGGACGAGTAAATGAGAAGCGTTTGAGCAATTTCAATTATCAGCCAATCAGAAGACAGTATAAAGCAAAAATATATTACAAGAAAGTAATGGATTACAGTGGATATTCTTCTTTTACATGATTTAAAAACTTATTGATGTTTGATAAAGGCTCAGAAGTTCTGAATTCAAGATGCATATTGTATAGAAACTCGTCCATAGGGTTAGGGTTTGGGGTTAAGGTTAGGGTTAGATTAGGGTTAAGGGTTAGGTTAGGGTTTAGGGTTAGATTAGGGTTTAGGGTTGGGTTAAGGTTAGGGTTAGGTTAAAGTTAGGGTTTAGGGCTAAGGTTAGGGTTAGCTTAAGGTTAGGGTTAGATTAGGGTTTAGGGTTAGGTTGAGGTTAGGGTTAAGGGTTAGATTAGGGTTAGGTTAAGGTTAGGGTTAGATTAGGGTTAGGTTAAGTTTGGGGTGCTAACATGCGATCGGTTTACATCGGATTTTAGAGAAGAGTTGTCTATTGACAGGCTGCAACCCTAACCACTAACCCTATGGACGAGTTTCTATACAATATGCATTATGAATTCAGAGCCTCTGAACCTTCATCAAAACCTAACAAGTTTTTAAATCACGTAAAAGAAGAATATCCACTGTAATTCATTACTTACAATATATTCTCACTTTATACTAACTGTCTTCTGATTGGCTAATAATTGTCAAGGTCATTTAAGATTCGTTCAAAGGTCGTCGCTAAATTAGAGTCTCGCCGATTTCATTTGTCTTTGTTTTGGTAACAGAAACATCCAGAAAAAAATCAAACCCCAATTTATATAAGACTGTACATACTTTAAAAGAACTGGGTTTTCGGCATTTACATCGTACTGATCGGACAGTATACAGGATTGATGATCATGGGCGTGATAAAACTCAATTTAGATACTGTAACTTAAAGATTCACACTGCGAATCTCTATTTAGTGACTTGAGCGTTCTTTAGTTATCAAACCAGATACAGCTTAAGTGAAACCATCTAAGGACCTTTGATTGCATAATGCAATGAAGCCGCCCGTTTCGGAAATAAAGTGGAACTACAGGATTTTGTTAAAGTGTGTGCATACTTTTATTTCCTTGACGAATTCATTAATTCACTGTAACTCACAGAGTTGCATACAATATTGTATTTCGCTAAATTAGTCTATAGGCTGGGTGTGAGAAACAAAGAAATTTAAGACAATATTATGTACACAATACTGTACTGAGATTAATCGAACATGAAACACCAAAAAAAGGTTAATTCGAAGTGTTTTACTAAGTTGTCGCGTTTTATACCAACGCACGAGGAAACCACTAGCAAGCAAATGCACAAGGTTACATTAGAAACTAAACGACCATAGAAGACCGGGTTGCGAAAACCATTAGCAGATGAGAAACGTGGTGAACACCTCAAATGATATGGTTAATACAGTTTTGGCAGTGGGACCTAATAGATACCAGAGTGTATGTATGTAAAAACTAAACTATCATATTATAAATTTTGAAAGGAAGATTTTGAACTAGAAGTTAGTAGCAGCTCCAATAAAAAATCTCCGGTTGAAAGGCTTTGAATGAAGAGCAACATGTAGCATTACGAAAGTGTAATAACAGGTTATTTTAGATTTCATTATAAGTTAGCTAGTCGATGACCACTGGCAATAAACTCTAACACAATGATGTAAACTGATCTATATGATATCGCGGTGGACGAAGTGATTTTATTAATTTACTGACCACAGCCAGCTGGGCGTATTCGCAAACTACGATCCTGAGATCACAGCTCGAGGATATCATGAAGATGAACGAATTGTATCTTACGTCCCACAGTTGCATAGTTAAATTATTGTAAAGTACATTCCAACTTCAAAGGCACATCGTCATCCGTGTAACCGTTTTGAAACAAGTTTCTACCAGCCATAAATCCCAAAATAAACTAGAACCCTTTGAACTTTTTCCTAAGTATCACTATTTCCTTGTGTGCTGGTGTCATCTAATTGAGCACTAGATAATTTATTTGGTGTTGTTGCATCTTGAAATAAA